GCCGCCTCTGGCACGCGTGCCATAGGTTCGCCACCACTACTTTAAGCTATCCTTTATGAAATAAAAGCACTCTCTAAATATAATTCTAAATCTTGTGGGGGGGGGAGACTCCAATGGCTGCTATGCCAAGGCCAAGGATAAACAATTGATCTATGGACAATCTAAATCTACATTACTGGAGCTGCTGTTCTTTTTTGTAACCATCCCATCCACTCAAAGCTGCTCAAGTCTCCTTCCAGTGCCCATTTTCAGGGGGCGGGATGCTGGATACTGCAACCAGTGAAAGAATTTTCTTCTTGGACTGATAGAATCAGTCTATGCCAGTTTAACAATAATTTATTGTAGATTGTTCTCCCTGGATCAAAGAGAATTATCCCTTTGGAAAGATGGGGATAGAAAAAGCAGTAACTAGCTAAGTTATAAAACAATAATCAGAATGTTCTATGTTAAGAATTTGGAACTGAGGATATTTGGACAACGGAAGGCAGAGGAAAGGGGTAAAAGTTTTATGACTATCCAGGATTTCTGGGCATAGAGAACTGCTATATTCTTATCTGTCAGCATTTAACACTCATCAAGCATTATCTGTCGAAAACACAGTAGACGACTTGTTTTAGGATCAGAGGTGACCCTGCTCCTGGCTGTATTTGATCATTAGCTGCATTCAGTATCATCAAACAAAGCATACCTCAGATTGCCCCCAAGAGTTGTGACTAGAGGCACCATCTCTGTTTATAACTCAAAGTACTGTTTTCATTCTTAAAAGCTCTATCAAGCTTGCCTCCTAGATGTCTGGAGGACAACCTTTTCTCATTGGAGTCATCCTGTCTGCTGTGGTCACCTCAACTGGGGTTATTGTCTCCATCTTCAGAGTGTAAGAAGCATGTTTTCTTTGGGGGTGGTGGTCAGGGAATCTTTCTGTTATGACTTCCAGCTTATGGGATAGTTTCTTCAAGATTACTGCCGACTTTGCCAGTGTTTCATAAAACAGTTAAAACTAAAGCAACTTAAAGGGGGCCAAAATCTAATCCCACATTTTTTTATAAATTTAACCAATTTTTATACTCTTATTTACTCCCGTTCTAATTGTATTTAATTTTGTTTTCTCTGTACGTTGACAATTGCAAACTGCCACTTATTTTAAGCTCTGATAGCATAAAAATCAAGCAAGAAATATTCAGCAATGAAAAAAAATTGACAGTGATCTTCCACTGATGCTTTCTTCTTTAAAATAACTTTTGAGAAGTGATGCTCTCTATTTGATTATAATTTATTCACAGATCACTGACTTCAATGCATAAGATATGTCTCCTTCTGTGATATCTACACTGCCCCCCTTTTCTTGACCCAGCCATATACTGAAACTCATTCTGCCTCTTTCCTACAGCCAGAAGGCCCTTGATTAAAGATTAAAGGAAAAGACCTCCCCCCAAATCTTCTACTTCTACAAGTAAGAAAGGCACACTCTACTCCATTCTACTACTATCCACATAAATTTTTAAGCAAGTATTTTATACATCTATTTGGGGATATTTTAAAAATGGGTATTTTTCCTGTTACTTTTTTTTTTTTTTTTTTAAAGGTTATTTCCAATGAATGTTCAAATCAAATCAAAAAGTGAGCAATCGTGGCATCAGCTTGATTTTACCATTTATGAAAGCACCATTGGGGGAGGGGGGGCTGAGGATAGAAAAGAAAAAAAGCTAGTTCATTTTAGATCCTGCCCCTCTCCCCAGTTTAATAAGTGTTATCATCATGTTTAGCTTCTGCTGCTCCTCCGGCAGATGGGAATGCATTGATATGATTAAATCTGATAGTGTGATAATGTATGGAAATAGTGATTAATTAGAAGCTCCCCAGAAAATGGAGGATGTTTGTTATCATGTCACCTGCACTGTAAATTGCATTTCCCTTCTCCCAGCCTCACACTGACACCGCAGGCAGAAAGGGTGGAGCCACAGCAGTTGATCTTCTGGGTACCGGCAAGAGAAAAACCCTCATGGGCTGCTCTATTGTGAAGGTACTAATAATAGGACTATGTAGATAAGTTGTGAAAATGGCAGGTCCTCCTAAAGAGAACTTGCCAGAGATGCTCAGGAAAGCTCAGTTGCACATCTGCAGGGGCTGTAATAGGAGGGGGAAAAATGTAATTTGATTCAGCAGTCTCATTCGAACATGATTTGCATGAAATGCTGTGTAAAGCTCTATCCAAGAAACGTCAATCACAACCACCTGATACCTTGTATCATGTTAAAAGGAAAGGAAAACGCTTTCCAGGCCAGGTGGAATTTGCCAGTGCGCCTGCACAGTAATAGAGTGAAAATTTCATTTACATTTGCTGCTGTTCTAACAGCACCCGCCACAACAAAAACACAATTGCTATGGCAGCCATGCAGCAGGCTAGAGTTTTTCTCACCCCCCCCCCTGCACTTGACGTCTAACATTTAAACAAATAACCGTTACAAGTGTGTAAGCAGCTGTCCTTTATCAAATAATAGGACACTTAATACATATTCACAATGACCATAAATGGTCCATGTATTACATTTTAGAAAGTAAAAACTTCATACATCTTTGCTGTATCTCACAAAAACAGTCATCTGAGTCAGGACTGGTGTACTGAGTTGTGTCAAATTATTTAGCTTTCCTGATACATGAAAATGACTCTTCCACCACATTCTGTCCCCATTTTGATAACCAACAGAAGACTTGAGATAACTTGTGATCTACTAGATAAACTGAGGAGAGGAAATGCTAATCAATCATTGTCTGCGTAAATCAGCAAGCGTATCTTACCCAACAACAAGAAATAATTTGTGCGCATGGCACAAATAAATTCAGATTTAGGTAACTATACCTGCAGAAGACAATTCCACTACCATTTCCTACTCTACAAATCCTCAGACTGATGTTTATCCTGACTTTAAGCAATGGGAATTATATCCTAATCAGACTCAATTTAGATTTGAGTAACCTGTGGAAGAGAGGGAGGGAGGGAGGGAGGGAGGGAGGGAGGGAGGGAGGGAAGGAAGGAAGGAAGTTTGGAAATGATCCAGATGTTTGAAAATGATCTAGAGCAATGGTGGCGAACCTGTGGCACGGGTGCCAGAGGCGGCACTCAGAACCCTCTCTGTGGGCACGCGCGCCGTCAGACCCAGTCCTAGGCCTTCAGCTGGGTTTTATAAAACCTTTTCGCTTTAGTCCTCCGCCACCGTGTCCAAAAAATAAGGTTCAATCAGTCAATTTCAACTTCTTGCGGGGAAAAAAAAGAGCTTGCAAAGTTGGAATTGATTGAACTTTTTAATCCCACCCAGTCTGCTGTTATTACTACCACAGCCATGCCCACCCGGCACCCAACGATGCATAAATGGGTTTTGGGTTGCAGTTTGGGCACTCGGTCTCTAAAAGGTTCGCCATCACTGATGTAGAGAACCTCTGACTTGTTTAGTTCTTCTAGTTTTCCTTCACTTTATACATGGAACACTGTAAAATAAAAATCTCATTACCGATGGACTCAAGGAATAATGGTTTACCCTTTCCAAATTTAGCTAACAAACTGAGCTATCAAACCAAGATTTGAGAGGAAAAGCACTTTCTGTGACTCACTTTCAAGTATCAAGTATATAGGACCTGTATCTCAAATATGTTCATTCTCTAGGAAAAATAAAGACTAGTGTGTAACAATTATGGATCCAAAAGACGATGAATTCTATCAAAATTCACAAATTATGATAACTTGCATTTGCTTTTCGCAAATAAAACTGCTTGTGCCTTTCTCTACAGATGAACACCTTTAGGCTCCATCGGAGTTTCATTTAGCACCATGTATGAACTCAAAAGGAGAGCCTGGTTTTTTCTAACAAGCCACTTCCCAGATCACAGGGGCTAAGAGAATCATAGAGAGCACCACTTATTTACCCTCCTTCTGTGATAAACCACATCTACAAAAAGCAATTAAACAATGTATACTACCACACTAGAATCCTTCCCAGACTAGAATTCTTCGCAATTCTGACTTACTCCTGCAAAATAACAAATACCAAGAAGATGATTTGCAGATATTTAGAACAGAAATCACTTCATCACACGTACAACAGTTTAATTATTTTTTGAAATTAAAAAAAGTGGTGTACAGTAAAAAGAGCAATAAAATACACTAGACTTTTGGTTATAATATGATACATTGGTTATAATATCCATGATACATGGACATATTCCCATATTTCTAAAAGATAATTCCCAATTTCTGATTGTTAATCTAATATGTGAATTATTTATTAGTTTTACCAATGCTAAAAAGGTTCTAGAAATGTGATGTGGAGTCTGGTGAATGAAAGCAACATTACTGAATATTCCTGTTATGTGTCTTGATGCACAGTCTGCAGAAATCATAACTGAAGGAATATAAAGCTGGGGGGGAAAACTGGAAAATTTACATACTATAAAAATATGAATGGGAAGAGAAGTGGGAATATTCAGTGACATTGAGAAGCAAATCAACCAAGTGTAGTAGATTAATAGGGGAAAACAGCTGGCCACTCTGTTTGGGACAAAAAAAAAAAAGATGTGATAGATACTAGTAGCAAATTAGTTTTTGGTATTAAAGATACAACAAAAGAAAAAATAATACAATTCTTTACACTTTCATTAGAAATATGCAATATTTGATTCCTTTTTATTAAAGAAAAGCAGTTCTATTTATTCTGAAAGGACTCTAATGGACGGATGGAGCCCTTGTTATTTTAAACCCAGCCAGTGTGTGCTTTTTTTTTAAACTCCCCACTGAAAGTTTTTACAATTAAAACAAAATTAATTCAGGCCTGAAAAATTCATTGACCTTTAAGCTTTTAACAAACAATTTTCTAGCTCACAGATCATTGTCAATATTTGCAAATCCTTAAAATTATATTTCACTGGCACCACTTTTATTTGCCATATTAATATTTCTTTACAAATGTATGCTTATCCATATCAGAGAAGAAGGAACAGCTGCTACTCACAGGAAATCTCTGGGGTCCTACAGCAGGTCTTGGCTGGGTTGGGACTGGCAGCAAGGGCACTAAAAACAAGGAGCACACCTTTTAAATCAATTTGTTTTAGCCAAGACTCCGGGCCATTTTCATATGCAGCCACATTCACAGGCAGCTGCCGCCCCATTCTCCCCAACAGCTGCAGGCAGACAAAATGTGTTAACACCATGCAACAGGGCAATTAGGATGCTGATGGCATAGGCTACAAAATTAAACAAGGCATAGGCAATTTGAAATAATATTTTTTTTCACACTTTACTGAATGAGGGACAAAATCTTGACAGTATGGTATCAGAGGCATGTCATGTATTTTCCAAAATTTCAGAGATTACACGAATTTCCATTGGTTAATTCACATTAATTCAATTATGCATTATAGTACTATGTATGCTTAAGGAAATACAGACTAGTTAAGCTCAGTTACATATATTCCTGAGCAAATATGTTCTATATTGGCTTATTGTTCACAATGTGTGGTACCTCCTAAGATAAGGCAATCAAATGATTTAAATTTTTGCAAATGGAATAAAGGAGAAAAGGGAGTAAAACTAAAGAAAAGCACGTATGAAGAAGTGGCACTGAATTAACTATTCTAGAAATAAGCTCTTTCTGCACCACAATTATCTCTCAAGAGACCTTAAGAGACCTTAAACTGGTGCTTCTTACTGTTTTGCTTGATTATAATTTATGAATCATATCTCTGAACTCATTAGACAAAACTTCAGGCATTCATGTCTTTCTGTTTCAAAAACAAATCCTCACTAAACCTTTACCCATTGTGCCAAGACTATGATATAGTTTTGTCTGGGGTTCAGCATGACGAAGTGAAGTCTCTGTAAAGAAAATATTTGCTTTATTTTCCGTAACCAGTTACAGAAAAATGGTAGGGAAAACAAATCAAGAATTAAAGAAATAATTATTACAAGCTGCTTTGTCTCTGGAGATTCTCAATAATCCAGGTCAAAGTTGTCCAAGGTTGCTTTTACCAAAAGGCAACTGGACTTTCCTTTCAAAACATTTTGCTTCCCCTCCAAGAACCTTCTTCAGAACTGGAGGAGCTTCTTGAATGAGAAGCGAAATGTTTTTCCCCCCCCAAAAAAGGGGGGGGGGAACCCAGAGAAAGTCCAGTTGCCTTTTGGGGAAAAAAACAGCTTTGGGACAAGTTGTCTTTTAATAATGTCAGCGTAAAAAACACAACTCTTGGTTTAAATTTAAATAAATTTCTGTTTCATTTTTCCCCCCCCTACAGTTACAGTTTCCCATCATCTAATTTCAGGGGATGAAGCTAAGGAATTCTGCATAGAAATACCTGGTGCTATAAAAAATATAGATAACATCAAAAGCCAACTTATACCAAGTAAGACCTTTGATCTACACCAGGCATGTCAAACTTGCGACGTCATGTGACGTATCGGAGCTTTTTCGCCATTGCCGGCAATGGGGTGGGCGCGGCTCCGGTATGATGAAACTGGCCCGCGGGCCGGCAGTTTGACACCCCTGATCTACACTGATTAGCATGGTTGATGATGATCAACACAGCAACTCCCTTGGCTTCTATCTCTTGCTCAGTGGTACCTCCAAAGAGATTCTTAAAAATGAGAAATATTTACGTCCAAAAATGTGCTTTACTTCTAAGCAATAGGCATTTTTCACTACATTTTGTAGTAATACCCGTAACCTATCCAGACTTTCTTTGAAAAGATTCCTACCTTGAACAGGTGTTACTACAGTTCCTTTGAAGTGTGGATTTATGTGTATGTTTTTTGGCTGCTGGGATGCCACCGAAGAAGTCATCAGTATTCTCGGGGCGTCCACCTGGGATGGCATACGGATTCCTTGGGGGGGGAGGGGTGGTGTATGATGCGGAGTGGGGACAGGGAGCAGACCCTGGAGCTGTTGCTGTGATTGCTGCTGCTGCTGGAAAAGATTCCGAATGGGATGATGAAATATCCTGTTTGAATGTGTCTGAAATTAAAAACAGAAAATAATACTTCCATTAATTGGAAAATCTAAAAAAAACCTGCCCTATAAGGAATACAGGAGAGGTTTTTTTATGGGGTTAAGCAGATTCATGGCTACTGATAATATCTTCATATTCATAGGTTGCCTAGAAACTTCAGTTTTTCTTGGGCAAATGGACAAGTGAAAGTGGAGAAACACAAACTCTTTGGCTATGGGTGGAATGAACGTTAAGTTCATCCCTAGATACAACTCAGTAGGAGCTTCTCACACACATGTACTACAATTCAGCATTCTAAACCTATGTTTATCAACAAGATTCCTCTGTTGTCGTGATGGAATTAGGACATGAAAAACTGTTCCCCTTATTTATATCAAAAAGCCATTTTATACCACCACGTCAAGCATTCCCCATACACAGATACGATCCAAGAGAGGTTTTTGGCACTGCATGTGTTTTGCAGAACTACTAAGAAGTATAAAAAATGGGGATCATCACAAATCTTAAAACCAGAGAGCCATTTTAGTGTAGGGGTTAAGGCACCAGTCTAGAAACCGGAAGACTGTGCATTCTAGCTCCACTTTAGGCTTGAAAGCTGGCTGGGTGACTTTGGGCCAGTCTCTCAGCCCAACCCACCTCATAGGGTTGTTGTTGTGGGAAAAATTGGAGGAGGAAGGAGCATTACATATGCTCGCCACCTCGAGTTACTCATAAAGATAATAAAGGTGAGATAAAAATAATACGTAAACGAACAAGCAAAATAAAACAGATTTTTCAGATGATAAATCCCAATGGCCCTGAGTTTAAGAGTCTTCAGAATAAGGCTCTGAACTAAGCATTCTCATTTAAGCAGTTAAAGCTTAAGGCAGGCCTTCCACCACTTGCATTCCTCCACCCAGCCATCGCTTCTGCATTTACGGTACCATCATAGCTGTCTGGGTTGGTAGCAAACCAGGCCTGTGATCCTTCATTCTTCCTCTTTCATTGATGTCTCTTCTTTGCTCTCCCAGCCCATGACACATGAATAAGCCTCCTCGTCTTCCTCCTCTTCGGAATCCATACCGCCCTTGTTTCAGTTGTCTTTCCCGTTCTTCAAATTCAAGTAATGCTGCTTTGGCTTCTGCAGAAAGTTCTATCAGATGGAAGAAAATATAATTTACTGTTTGCCAGAAGAATTAAGACCTATGAACTGATAACAATTTCATTACAGTAGCAACGACTGCATGCAGGTAAACATATTCAATTAGCATGGCACATACCTCAAGACAATCTATTAACATTTAAAGAACTAATTTGATTGTATCCCTTTAACTTGCAAATAGAAATGCGTATTTGCACTCCAGCAATAAAATTCTTTATTCTCTCAAGAATAATTTCATAACTGATTTTTAAAAATAAGTTTACTTTGGTTTTGTTTATTTATTTTAATTTTATTAATTTACCTTAAATAGTTTTGCTTTAACCTTTCTTTCTTCTACAATAACTTGCAAAAATTCATTAATTAATATAAGAAATATACATATAGTGCAGTATGCTGATTGCTAAAATCCTGGTAACTTAATTAGGTATTATATCTGATTACCTCTAAAGCTTCTATGCTGCTTCAAATGGACTATTTCTAAATTCAAAACAGCAAGAACAAACAAAATGTAAAATAAGACAACATATTATATGGTAGTAAGACAAAATCAGAATACATATTTGGTGCTTTTATATCTTCAGGACATGCTTCCTAGTCATATCAATATCATCAATATCATCCTTCTATGAAAGCTCTTTAAAAAAAAGCACTAGTATTCCTAACATAATCAAGGAAGTCTTCATAAATGTTAAAAGCAGCAGATTCAAAAATATTTCAGAATATATTGATAGTGGCCTATTAAAACAAAGTCTGAGCAATATTCCATTCTAAATACTCCTTGTTTCTTCCTTACTCCCTTCTCACAAAGATATATAGCATGCCTCTAACTAATGGGTAACTATATAGTGACTATCCTGTGCTTTTTACTTGGAAGTCTTCATGTTATATGGAGAAAGGAAAGATGCTATTACTTTGTAAGACAAAATCTGGTAACTGGAGCATTGCTTCTAAACCTTTCTTCACTGGCTCACTCAGAACCATGTAGTCCATTCTGTCCCTTGACTACAATATTGAAAAAGAAGGCACAAAATGTTCTTAAAAAATAGCTAATTCAGGCTAAAACCCATGCAGAAGGATGTCCAATTTTAAGAAGAATAAGTAATTGAGTTTACAAGTTCATCTTGTTGCTACTGGCCCTCCTTATCTAGCACATATTCAGAGAACAGAGTATCAGGCCTGGGAAGATGAACTCAAAGGGGTCACGAATAACTTCCGCTGTTAAAACAGAACTTTATTCTCCAGGTAATGGGAACAACAACTCCAATCCATTCAGTTTGTACAATTCAGTCTTACAGATCAGTGTTCAAAATAGGGTGACATTGAAGAATAACAAACCAGAGTAAAAGAAGGGATGAGAATCCTCCTTAGGGACTGTTACATCCACCTAACAGATACCATCAAAATAATTACAGCTTTAGCAATAGTAAAATTAGGTCTCAGTTAGACTCAAAAATGGGGGAAGGGATGATAAGGGAAGGAAGCAGAGTTTGGGTTCAGGGCAAGTAATTTGTCTTTTCACTTTCACGAACAAATATTTATTCCAATTTTTGACTATCTTCTGCAGCTTTCATAACTTGGAAAAGGAGTGCCTATAAAACAGCCCCACCCTCCCTGCCCATCTAATGGTATCAGAAAAAAAAATTAATTGCATAAAAGCGAAATCAATATTCAGAATTCAAAAGACCATATGTGATCCTTTATATATACACAGAGAAACCTTTTCTGATGCTCAATTTCAGAACATAAATCCTCTAAAAACTTCAGGTAGTCCTTGACTTATGACCATAACAGAGTCCAAATCCCAGTCATAGGTTGTGCCGGCTGTTAAGTGGTGTTTTTTGCCAAAACTGGAAGCAAACATCAGTTTCCAGCACAAAACATCAAAAATATTGGTCATGTGACCGTGGGATGCTGAAAACAGCCCTGAATGTAAGTCGGTTGCTGAGAGTCCAAAACATAATTATCTGACTGCAGGGGGAAGGAGAACTGCCTGTATTTTGTAAAATCGGACTCATTTCAGAAGTATTCTATAAAACACAAGAAAATGACTTGCTGGCAGAAATTGTGGGTGCTCCAACACTGGAGGTTTTTAAGAAGAGATTGGATAAGCATTTGTTTGAAATATTATAGGGTTTCCTGCTTGAGCAAGGGGTTGGACTAGAAGATCTCCAAGGTCCCTTCCAACTCTGTTATTCTGTTAAAAGAATCATGTTATCCTTTTTTTGTATATGATTCTTTCAATTTTTGTCCCTAAAGAACCTATTTCATATTCATACTTACCTGCTTTAAAATGCTTTCAACTCAAAGGATTTTCTCCTTTTAATATTAAAAAAAGCAGCATTTAAGACACGATTCTGCTGCGTTCATAAGAAAAAAATGTTAAACATATTTTTACCAACACATATCCAATCTTTACTGCAGAATTCTTTCACACACAGCTAATGCAGTGAATCAGCAATTATTCCTCTAGTCCTTCCAAGTGTCAAAATTAATTTGGCTACCCTTGGTAATAAAATGGTTTCAAATGCCATCTTTAATCAGCAAGTAAGGATGCTTTCCTCCAATAGAGACAACCTGTCACGAAAGGTCACCAAAAAGTGACAGAAAGGAAATTACGTTTGGAATTTCAACTAAAATATTAATTTCTGTTTAAGTGTTTTCTCAATTTATGTCTAGATGTTAAAGTAAAAATTGTAACCACTCAATGGAATTCCATTTCTATACCCATAATTCTTATTAAGAGCAATCACTTTTGAAAGAAAGTAATATTTATTACGCCACTTTTACTACAGTTTTCCCTAATAGACAACAATTATTGCAGATCGCTTAACTGCTCTAGCTGACAATGGCTTTTTACAGAAAAAAACTTGAGTAGAAACTGCTAAACGTGCATATTTGCAAACTGCTAATGAGATATCACGGGGTTATTTTTTATTGCTAGAGCACTTTGATACTGTTATTTATGAAAGCAAGGAAACAGCTATCAAATAAATAATCAGTATTTCCAAACACTTTTTAAGATAGTTCCATACAGACAGCTTGCTAATCTTGTACTCTTCAGATAAGAGGTTGAAAAAAAAAAAAAAAAGAATTTTCCCGAATAAAAGCTAAGCGCAATAAATTTTGCTCCCGTAGTTTCTTAATATCAACTGAGACAGATTTTTTTTTCTAGCTCAATATATATTCTCCAAATATTCCATTATCAAAGCATCCCACTATAAACTAACTATCTTTCCAGGCTTAACACAAGGTGCTTGTCTATAGGCAAATAGCAATAAACATACCACGCTGACCTGCTCGTTTCATTTCTGGTTCCTTGAATCTCCCCAGACTCGTGCACTCACTACAGAACTACTAGAAAATTACTGCAAAGTTTTTAGGGAGGACCTCCTTCAGGCCCTTCCTCCCCATCAGCAAGCTAGCCAAGCCTCTTACTCCTCCCCCTTCACTTGTGCTCCAGATTCCACCCCCCTAAATGGGTTTAGAATTGCATATGAGGCCCCTCTCATATACACGTAGTCCTCAGCTTACAACTATTCATTTAGCACTCATTCAAAGTTACAACAGCGCTGAAAAAGTGGCTTCCAACTGATCCTCACACTTATGAACTATCACAGCATATCCATGTAATGGCCATGTGACCACAATTTGGATGCTTGGCAGCTGACACTTATTTATGATGGTTGCAGTGCCCCATGGGATTGCCATTTGAAACCTTTCCAAGCAAAATCAATGAGGGAAGGAAGGTTGGCTTAACAACTGCAGTGATTCACTTAACAACCTTAGTAAAAATGTTATGGAATGGGCACGATTTACTTAACCGCCCTGCTTAGCAATGGAAATTCTGTTCCCAATTATAGTTATAAATCAGTGATTACCTGTAAATTACAACTCCCAGCAACTACAAACACATAAAATCTGGGAAAAGGAAATGTGGGGATATTGGGGTGGGGGTGGCAGGTTGGAGAAGTCTAATTTATGATTTGGATAGCTAAAAAGCATTTTTTTTAATATCTGCCCCTTTGAGCAATACCCAACAACTTTTGTTTATTTGAAATATAGCATTTGGCGTGGTAGAGCTCAACTATCGCCAGCAACGGGCAGATCGGATTAACTGAATATGAAAGATGTTTGAAACTTCATTTATCCCATCTCACATGTTAAATACCTGTGTGAAATGTATAGCAGATATATTATTCTCAAATTATTCTTATTCTTTATTATTTCATTGGTTCCGAATTTTAGATTAGTTCAGAACTAATAAATCAGACTTCTCCAAGCTGCCACTCCCACCCCAACATCCCCATCCGAGAAGCACCTATAGTCACGTGAAAAGAAAAAGTACTCCCTCTTTGAGTTCCAAGGTTCTACGTACCAGGACACAGTAAAAACCATCTGGTCCTTAGCAGTTCTTAAAAGGAGGTAAAGACAACCTCAGAGGAACAACACATGACATACAGTATTACACCATGTCATCATTTCACATAAGTCAGATTGACTGCTAAGTCAATCTGTAAAACAGCAAAATTTCTTCAAGAGGCTTTCAATTCACAAAGCGTGAAACATCTACATTACTTCTGTATGAGGCATCAGACCAGACAATGGACGTGCCCATGTCTCTTTATGTGACAGAAGAGATGTACTCCTGTGATAGTTTTACAGCAACATGTTCTGTTAGAAAATTACAACATATCTTCATATTGAACTTGTAACACAGGACACTTCAAAAGAAGTCCTTCTTGTGTGTAGTTTCACAAGGTATCACACTGAGACTCACACTGAGACTCTAAATAATTCATTACTAAACCTGCCTGATTCTACCTTGCTATGACATCAATCTGAGATTTCTTTCAGTAGCATCTTTAATTAGCCTGTCCTTCTAGAAAAGCTGATTCGACCTGAAGCTCAGCAGACATTGTATGACACCTTAATGTGTTTGTTCTCATATCAGGAAAGACAAGACCTATCTAAATTTACCAGATTATATTATTTTATACTACCAATACTGCCACAAGATCTTTAACAACTTCCCATCCTGAATAAATACAGGTAGTCCTAGGGCAGGGGTAGGCAACCTTGGCTCTTTTATGACTCATGGACTTCAACTCCCAGAATTCCTGAGCCAGCCATGCTGAGGGGAAAGGGAGAAATTTCCAAGCTGAGCCATGCTGGCTCAGGAATTCTGGGAGTTGAAGTCCATGAGTCATAAAAGAGGCAAGGTTCCCCCACCTTGGCCTAAGGTTACAGTGGCAATTGGGACCAAAATTACAGTTGCTACCTGGTGTGGTCGTAAAGCACATCACATGACCACAGTGCTTAGCAAGGACAATCCTGGCAGTCCAGGTTGCTGTGGTCACCCCTGTGCAGCTTGCTAAGTGGGAAGCAGTGAGGGTTCCAGGTAAGCAGCATGGTGATGATCATACACAAGAAGGGAGCACTGGTGCAGAGAGTGTGTGAGTCAGGGAAGGGCCAACATCAGCCACATGTGCTTCAGGTGGGTAGAAGAAGCAGGAGAGACTAAACGGAACAACTTGTGACATTCCCTGCTGACTTTCTCATGGATTTTGCTTGTGGAAAGCTGGCAGAGAAGGTCGCTGGTTACATGATCCTGCCTCCTTGTGACATCATAAACACAAGCTGGTCACCAGAGCACCTGTACCGAATGTAGGTGATCACAAAAATGGTATGATAGTTGGAATAGCTGTACCTCCATTTTGTCAACTCTGCCACTTCAGCACCTTAACGGTCACTGAACAAATGTACATAAGTTGAGGAGGACTATCCGTACACAGTTTAATGTTATAAAAGTGCTCTTGAACTGCAATATCATTTTTTTAATTTTATAGATTTTACTTCTTTTTCAATTGTGCATGTAATGTGCTAGTCCAGTGATGGCGAACCTTTTAGAGACTGAGTGCCCAAACTGCAACCCAAAACCCATTTATTTATCGCCGGGTGCCGGGTGGGTGTGGCTGCAGTGGTAACAGCAGACTGGGTGGGACTAAAAAGTTCAATCAATCAATTCCAACTTTGCAAGATCGTTTTTTTCCCCACGAGAAGTTGAAATTGACTGATTGAACCTTTTTTTTTTTTTGCACACGGCGGCAGAGGCCTAAAGCGAAAAGGTTTTATAAAACCCAGCTGAAGGCCTAGGACTGGGGCGACGGCACGCGTGCCCACAGAGAGAGCTCTGAGTGCCGCCTCTGGCACCCGTGCCATAGGTTCGCCAACACTGTGCTAGTCTGTTGTTTAATCAATAAAGAATCTAGTTTTCTAACCATTCCTCTAAAGTCTTACCCAAAGTTTCTGGAATGTTTCTTCGCTGCCTTGTTATGTCTGATAGCCTAATAATTGTTCCTTCTTTCCGTTCAGTTTTGAACCGTAACCGACCAGACTCTTCATCATCTTCCTCTTCTTCATCTGACTCTTCTTTGGTCTTTTTTTGAAACTCCAGATTTTCAATAATTGCCTGTAACAGAGGAGGACAGGATAAAATGCCGATCTTACAGATTTACAAGGTTTTGAAATCAATTAAATCAGTGTGTATCATGTATAACATCATACACGTTGTCCAGACTGGTATTTAAGCAACTCTACGTCAAAATTCTTCAATGTTAATTTTATCATGCAATAATAAGCCACGGGTCTTTCTTAAAATTTAATATCATTCCACTATAATATACTGTTCAATAGTATAGCACTATGTGAAATTTAACTGATTTCATGATGTGAAATGTGGGGAAAAAAAGAAATAATGCAGAAATTTAATCCATGTTTAAACTCGGCTAATAATAATTATGGTTAAACACTTTACGAAAAGGTGTAATTTTAGGATAGGCAAGGAAGGAGAAAAATGGCATCAAAACTGTATTTTTGAAATAGAAAGTTTTTATTCAAAAGAGCTAACATTTTGAAATAGAAATTATAGAAATAACATTAAAGAAGCAATACATCTGGAGCAGTGAATTTCTTGTAAATAATAATAATTAGGGAGCAACTGTGGAACAGGCAGGACTACAATCTTTATATCTTGCCTATGGAGATTTTCGGTCATCCAGGTCATGGTTGACCCAAAAGTGTTTTTTTCCAAAAGGCAACTGGACTTTGTTTTTCCCTGAAGGGAACTGGAGAACTGAAGAAGCTTCTTGGATGAGAAGTAAAATATCTTCAAGGAAAAACAAAGTCCATTTGTCTTTTGGGAAAAAAAACACTTTTGGGACTTTGGATCTTGCCTCTGAGCTTCCAAGATAGATCTCTTTAATCGAGGCATGTCAATGTCAAAGCTGCTAACGTCGGATGTTTTTGCATTGACCACAGATGGAATTGTAGCCATCTTTTACCTTTTGTTTTTAGAGTTAGATGATGCTGGGAAGGGGAATGTGAAGAGAGTCCAGCTAGACATAACAACATTGGATCCAGCATGAGAAGCAAGGTTATTGTAACCAGAGGTGATAAGAAATTGGCGAGAATGTGATTTATGACTGTTAATTGGAGGAGGAAATTGTCCTTTGATACTATGTGCTCAGGGAAGGGGAATTCAGTTTTTGGCTTTGATTACGCAGTGCCGATGTTATGCTACTCAAAATAAAGACTGTTTAAGGTAAACAATGTCTCGAAGTTCTTTGAAGAGTTTCATCTGTTGGAACCATAACATTAAGCCAAAAACTCAATCTTTTTCCTAACTATTTTGGGGTCCCAAGCCCCAGTCGCTGTTCCTAGACAAGAGGGGTAAGTTGACAAAGATGCGGGGAAGATCTCAGAATGGAGAAAGAGAGAACGCCTGAAACCAGCACCCCGGCAAAAGCTGCTACCCCAGAAAGGGGAGCGACAGCCAGCGCGCCAGTGGAGAAGGAACTTTTTTAGGCCTCCCAGCTGGGGGCAAAGCCCAAGCTGCAAGGACAGCTGATCTGGTCGTCAGAATGGCTCCAACCCAGCAGAGACTCCAGACACCTCGAGGCGGCCTTGCCACCTTCAAGTGCTTCAAAGGCAGATGAGGTTGGGCTGCCAAGAGGGGATTCTCACATGTTGTGTTCCGCAGACTGGTGGAGAACAATGAAATCGTCCGCTGCTGAGGACTGAAACCTTACAACCTTGCGCCTACACCTCGAAAAAAATCACTGAGTGCGAGAGAAGGTGGGCTGTGTGGGAAAAGGAGGCGTTCACAATCTGCTGGGCTTTGTTAAACTGGAGACACGATCTAGAGGGGAGCAAGGTGCCTTTCGAGGTTTGGACTGATCATAAAAATCTAGAAGCGCTGAAAACTCCCCATAAATTGTCCCCGAAACAAGTGCGATGGGCGCAGTACTTTAACCGTTTTAACTTCACTTTAAAATATATACCAGGACAGAAAAACTTCTTAGCTGATGCTCTATCCAGACTGTCCCAATACAAAAGCCAGCGTGAAGAAGTTAATGAGGCACTTATCTCCAGTCCACAAACAGCCTCTCAACTCACGCCACGCAGAGTCCCACCTCCAAGAGCCCTTAACCCTGATGACCCTGGGGCAAAGAAAATAAAACAAGAGCTCCTCACCGACCAATGGTTCAAAGACAATCAAACATCCCTAATGTGCAGGGATGGTTTGGCTTACAAGGGGGGAAAGTTATACTTGCCAGAGACCCTCCGCCTTAACACTCTCTGACATGGCCACGACGTTAAACACCCTGGACACTTTAGATATTTAAAAACATTACACCTCGTCCGCCAGCAATTCTGGTGGCCGGGTTTGAAACGGGATGTGGAAAGCTATGTTAGGAGTTGTGCTGCATATGCCACCATGAAAAGAATTCCAGGGAAACCCCCTGGGTTGTTGCAACCAGTGACAGATCCTTCCCAACCATGGGAAGAAATTGCTATGGATTTTATAGTAGATCTACCTGAAAGTAGAGGAAATACAGTCATCTGGACTGTGATGAATCTGTTTTCAAAGCAGGCTCATTTCACCGCCTGCAAAGAGCTTCCATCCGCCCAACACTTGGCCAAAATGTTTTTAAAATACATCTACCGGCTGCATGGCGCACCTAAACGAATAATCTCGGACAGGAGGGTGCAGTTCACAGCTAAGTTTTGGAGAAGTTTCCTTAAACTAACTGGTTCATCTCAAGGTCTGTCATCTGTTTTTCATCCGGCTACTAATGGGGGGGGGGCTGAATCCGTGAATTCAATAGTGGAGCAATATTTTAGATGCTATATCAGCTACCAACAAAGAAACTGGACTGACCTCCTCCCTTTCGCAGAGGTGGCTTACAATAACTCTGTTCACAGCAGCACTGGCTTCACGCCTTTTAAAGTGGCCACAGGAAAAGAGTTCAACCCGATACCTGAATATCCCCAGGTGCCCTCCGCTTCCTAGACACTTGATTAATGGATGAAAGGGTGGGAAGAAGTTTGGAAAACCACAAAAACTGCTTTAAAAAAGGTTTCCGAGACATATAAAAAGCAGGCGGATAGAAAAAGGGCTACTCAAAGAACATTCCAAGTTGGGGAAAAGGTTTATCTGTCGACTAAATATTTGCCGCTCAAATTACCCAGTAAGAAGCTAGGACCGAAGTTCTTGGGACCTTTCCCCATTGTAAAGATCATTAACCCAGTTACAGTGGAATTAAAACTCCTTAAGCGCTCAGGAAAAATTCACCGTTTTCCATTGCAGCTTGTTGAAACCTTACCGGGATTCCACTTTAAGACCTCCCCCTAAGAAGGCACCCAGACCCCTCGTGGTGGCAGGACAGACTCACTATGAAGTAAAGCGTATTCTTGATTCTAGAATTTTTAAAGGGAAATTGCAGTATTTAATAAAATGGAAGGGATATTCGTTGTCTGAAGCCACTTGGGTGAAGTCTAGCGATGTGAAAGCTGATAAGACTCATTATTAGGTTTTATAAGAAACACCCTAACAAACCGAGAGGCAATCCCTAACCCATGCTTTTGTTTATATTACAGGATTTATCCTTTTTGAAAAGGGGGGGCAGATGTCAACGCTACTAACATTGGATGTTTTTGCAATGACAACAAATATGGAATTGTAGCCATCTTTTACCTTTTGCTTTTAGAGTTAGATGATGCTGGGAGGGGGAATGTGAAGAGAGTCCAGCTAGACATAACAACATTGGTGTGAGAAGCAAGGGGAGAGGAAGCCCACGCTTCAAGCTAATTGGGGAATGTGATTTATGATTGTTAATTGGAGGAGGGAATTGTCCTTTGATACTATGTGCTCAGGGGAGGGGGAATTCAATTTTTGGCTTTGATTATGCAGTGCCAATGTTATGCTACTCAAAATAAAGACTCTTTAAGGTACAATGCCTCGAAATTCTTTGAAGAGTTTCACCTGTCAGAACTATGACAGTCAAACTCGCGACATCACATGACATCGCACGGTGTATCGCGATTTTTCCCCCATTGCCGGCAATGGGGTGGGCGCAGTTGGTTTCGGTGTGACGCATCCAGCCCGTGGGCCGGCAGTTTGACATGCCTGCTTTAATCACTCTTTAAAGTCTATACTAAAAATCAGTGTTTCATGTCAAGATAGGAGAGCGCTGCATTTCTTATTATGAGTTCAGGAGGATGAATTTCAGATTGCAATATTTAAAAATAATTTGGGGAAGTCTAAATTATTTAAAAAAATTTCCAGGCTAAAATATATAAAGGGGAATGCTGCATTAAAACTGAATGGCTACTTCCTTGTTATGTTAACAATGTTCATCAGAAAACATTAAGGAATGTCAGCCTTCCCAAGCAGACTATACAGGAAACATGACCAGGTGAGTTAATACTACTTTACTGTAATACAATCTTAAAACACATAAGTCCCACCATCTCTTTTTATAGTCTAAGAAGTTAAAAGACTCTTCTGAGTCTCTTTCCCTGTCAATTATGCAATTTGCAGCTGACCTTGCAACTCCATCTGACCCTTCCTGAGGCAGCATCTCTTCCCTTCTTCCATCTTCCAAGACCTTTCCCACATACCATTACAATTAATGTATTTAGGATCACAGCCATAACTCTTAACAGAAGTTTGGAAATCTTTCTCACTGCTCACCTCCTGTAACTGAATAACCTCCCATAAAGCATAACAAAACAGAAAATGAGTTAATAAAATTCCTGGAAGTGTAAGAGAAATAATATTTGAGTGGAAGAGAATTGTAGCATTTTTCAACTGGATGACTTTGGCAAGATTCCTCTGTGTAGTGAAAGCCTTAAAATATTCTCTTTGCAGTTTGCATGGTATAAGTTAGTGTCTTATTACTGATAGGCTACATTCTTAAATTACTGAAATTAATCTGTTAGGAATGATTGAAAAAGAAAAAAAAACATCAGTGCTATGTATTAGTTATGGTGCCTACAAGATATTTTTTCAAACCCTACAATTTTACTTTTAATCTACAGAGCACTGTACTTTCTATTTCAGGAAGTGCTTCAACATGCTTAAAAGAAGAAAATCACAGAATTTAAATACCAAGTAAACCAACTAGTACTCTAAGGAATACACTAACTTGGATGATGAGCCCTTATTTTAAGGTGATAGAGGAAAAAAATGAACTGCCTGTCAAACAGTCCAACTAAAGCTCCCACTCCTGACTTCAAAAGGAACTGAGGATGAGGAAAACCTTAAATCCAAATATAATCCCTTCCCTCAAATACAGGCAGTGAAAGCTAAGAATGGCAGCTAGCCTCTTGTAGAAGAGGAAAAGAAAATAAATGCATCACCGAAAAATAAACTTATTGCTCAGGTAATAACTAGTATTTTCATGGACGGATGCCTTAAGTCACTCTAAATTTCTTGTCTCTATCTTCTAGCAAGGTCTCATCTATTCATCCGCCAGTTTTGAAATGTCAAGGATCAAAATTCTTCTGGAACGGAGAATGTGGTATACAGCACATATTAAATATCTAGCCAAGATTTAGGTTTCATCACTAGCTTCTAAGACTGTTTCTCCTTTGATGCAATGGAGAAGGAAATCAAATTGAACAGGGATTGAGAAGTCTCAACAGAAAACTCTGTAAAAGAACTGGCTTACTAAAATATCATTCAAGCACAACTGAGTTATTGTTATTGTTATTTGGGGGTTTTTTTTACATTTACTTGGTAGCAAGTAGGTCATGATGTTTATGGAATAAAGATAATACATGACGATATTGTGAGCAGATGAATGAAACTGTTTCAACTACCGTAATCTTCTCAAAAGTCGGGGGTCGTCTTATACGCCCAGTCATCTTATACGCCAGAAAATACGGGTATTCTATTTTATTCCTTTACACATGTGGTTTGGCATATTACTCATCAAGTTTTCTCTCCCCCCCCCTCTCTCGCTCAAACTCTATATTTTAACTGGAAAAGTTGGGGGTCGTCTTCTACGCCCAGTCGTCTTATACGCCGGAAAATACGGTATATACAATATAAGGAATGCTAGAAAAAGGTGACTTGGTTTCCACAAAGAACAAAGTGAAAAAATGATCAAGGATTTTATATCAAGCAGAAGATATTTCAATGCAGAACAATTAATTCTGGTATAATGCTGAGCATTTATGAATTTCTGGTCACAAAGAGTAAAGAAGAGAGAAAGTACTGTGCATTTTCTTCTAAATCACGGCTATGGACACGTTTAAAAAAAATTCAGATATGAAAAGTAAATGAAATATTGGATGATGACTGGAGTGGGCTCTATTACTCCAGCGCTATTTGTAAAGGCTGCCAAAAATGAGAAACAAATGGAGGAGAAGCAGCTGTGACACAAGTAGCACGTACACCACTCGCCTTCATATCTCTAGTTTTTCCCTGAAAATGAGCATTCAGGAATGTTGATCATCCTGGTATATAAGTCTGCTTGCTAAAAGTTAACATAGGGTCGTAGTTTCTCTTTATAGCTACTTTCGCAATAGAAATATTGAGAAAAAGCAATGCCAAAGGTAAATACCAAATTGAAAAAATCTATCTGAAATATGTATTTTTTTTTTAATGTTCCAGCTTTTCTGCAGTACCTCTTCTGACTCATTTGGAGGTGACTGGGTATCAGCAACCTCTTCTAACTCTTCTTCAGCTACATATTCTTGTTGTTCAATTACTTGTTCTCCACTATAAGATTGTACATAATCTTCATCCTGAAAGAAATGCACAAGGAAGCCTTTCACTTAAACTAATTTTATTTTCTAAATATATCACTGCTTATTTATTCAGAAGAGGGCTGGTATAAATGCAATCTTCCAACTTGACGAGCTCTGATTAACAGACTGGAAAAAAGTCACAAACTTCCGTACTTCTGTACATTTTCTATCTCCAGCATCTTGAATCTACCTTAAATATAACTGATTTATGCAAACTAGTTTTTATCAGTGAATTAGGATTTAAATGGTGAATGGTGCTTAAGATAAATTATAATTAATACTAACCATGACAGCAACTTTATACCTTGTTACAACTAAGACTTAAAGGATGAGAAATTGGAATCCATATGATTAGTAAAAGATTATGAAAATTCAAATACAACACTACATTCATATAGGTCTCCATTAAACCAACAACACATTTAATATATTTATATGAGGCAGCTATTTATTTTTTGTATCAATAATTTAGAAGATAAACCCTCTTAAAATTTAAAACATGACACCAGCATTACTATAATTAGTACAGTTTTAAAAACATGTGTTAGGAAAAATTACATCTACTTACTTAAAGCATATATACCCTACTCCATAAAATGAAAATTAATTGCTCCCAGAGCAGCTTACATGGCATAATGATGTGACAGTTCACATTAATTCCTTTTTAAATATAGGATTTTTGATTTTAATTAAATATTCAACTAATTTGAGAGTAATACAATACCTTTATTTTCATGAAATGTACTTTCCCATTATTTATTTATGTCTTATACATCTAAGAATAACATACAGTATTTTATTATGTGATTTAGACTTTAAAGCAAAGATAAAGGAACAATAAATCCTTTTGTTTGCTAGGTTTTTTTTAGTTGAGAAATACTTCTAATAAATGGCAATAAATCTATTCTCATTTCAAATCAGAGCAATGAACACAGAAAACCACCGAAACTGAAACAAATTATATATCTGAGACATGTTCTAAAGTAACCTCAAATCTCTTTATTCAGTTTTAGACAGTTCTCAATTACAAAAAAAGGGGAGGGTGGAAATGAGTGAGCAGAACATCAATCACTTTGGAATATTAGCACCTTAAAGATGTCTTTAGCAGGTCAATAATCTTTTCACCTTCGAAGGACTTTATCAGATCTTGTCTAAAGCCTGGATAAAAGCTTTTGCATTAAGTACTTCTAACAATTGGCACTGCGTCTCCACCACACAAAGCTGTTTTCTTCCTTAAGGATACAATCTTCAAGGTCATGATTCTCAACTGCCTTCCAGAATGACAAAAGAGCATTACCTGCAGCCAAACAAGCTGTCAACACAAACTTTGTCACAGCCTAGATAAAGAAACTGGCAGACAGTGATAATAGGTCTAATTTTGCTCTGGTCCCAAAGGGAGGTAAACAGATTTCAGATCAGTCTAAAAACCTAAGCATGTGCAGCAATGTTATCTCAAAAACTAAAATAGGAGGGGAGAAAAAAAACTCACCGGAAATTCATCTAGAGGTTCATTGATTTCAAGATCCAGCACTTCATCGTTATAATTCTCTTCTTCACCCTGATCTTCCTCATATTCTATTTGATCTTCAATCAACTCAGCCTCTTGGCCTTCATATTGTTCTTCCGAATACTCCTCTGCATACTCCTCAGGAACATCTGATTTGTCGTAACCAATTTCATCTTCCCCTTGTTCATACTCTAAGTCTTGTTCAATAGATGGGTCATTAGCATTCTCAAAGGATGTAACCACGCTAGATGCAGCATTAAGACTCACAGTGAGCTCTTGAGAACTACAATAAGGCAAAAAAGGTGGTTTTAATTTAAATCAATAGATTATTAGTGTGCAACAATATCCACATTAACTAGAGCAAAATTTATTGATGCATCAATTTGATTTCATATCATAAACTCATAATGTGCATACTTATATGACTGTTTCATCCCCAAAGGGATCAAACCAACTATATGTTCTAACAGATTAGCTTGGCATACAGGCACTTATTACCATGCCTGGTGGATATGCCCTATCGCTAAGAAATATTAATCTAAGATCCATAGATGGTTGGAAAAGATGATGAAACTACAGATAGAATTTAAACTGGAATTGTTTTTGTTAGGAATATTAAGACCTAATTATGGTAAAGAGAATGACTACTTGATATTGCATGTTTTAACTGCTGCAAGGATAGTATTTGCCAAATTTTGGAAAAATGAGAATTTACCATCTGACCAGACTATAATTACTAAAATTTTAGAGTGTGCAGAAATGGATAGACTAACGTTAGAAATGAAAGAAAAAGATGATTCAATTTATTTTAGAACTTGGGAAATTTTTTATCAATGGTTAGAGGCACGTTAGAACTTGAAGGATTCAATATTATAGAATAGATGACTGATTTTTAATCGAGTTCTAACTAACATTTTGATGATATGATTATTTTTCCTGATTTACTGATTTTCATTTGTTACTTTTGATTGTTAGGATTTTTTTGAGATTTTATTAGTAGTGTTTACTTAATAGATTAACATATTTGTTTATTAATTGTTTTTAATATGTTACAGTCTAAGCTTTGCTAAAAATGGTTGAATATGATATTTACTCATTATTATGATCCGGACGGTAGCTTGTTTGTTGAAATACGTGATTGTACCTATTCTTATTTTACCCTAAATCCTTTATTTCCTTCCCCTTCCCTTTTCCTTCCACCCCTCCCTTTACCATACCTGTATTGTTCCTATTTTTCCCTATCTATATAAACTCAATAAAATTTTGTTAAAAAAAAAAAAAGATTAGCTTGGCATAAAGTGTGAGATAACTGAGCAAGTTGCATTCCGTTTTAAATCCCAGGTTAACAAATATACACAGGAGGAGATCAGCGTTTATTTTCCATTTAGTGCAACATTAGTTACCCATTATACTAGCTACATTAATACTGCTGGGCACCAATGCTTTGGAATTTTAGGTTACTGAAATATTTTTTTAAAGGGTATGCTTGAATATACTTCAACATGCTAGAATTTGCATTTAATTCTTATAGGCATCAACATCAACCAATGTTCAATTTGAGTTGTATCAATAGCTCCTATCTAAATTCTGAGAAGGAATCATAGGTTTTCTGGTACAAAAAAATTCTATAAAACCCTATCAATTCAGCAAACTAAAAAAGAATTATTTTTGTTCATTAAAATATAGCAATTTGTAGTACATGAAGTAATAATTATCTGTAAGTTTCCTTTTACATTCTCTCCAAAAACAATTTATCGGGTTTTGTTTCCTTTATATCCTGTTTGCTGTTTGGGAATTCAAAGGGACCCAGGGCGCACTCCTTCCTTCATATTTCTCCCCACAACCATCCTGTGAAGTAGGCAGGATGAGAGATTGACTGGTTCAAAGTCCCCAAGTGAGCTGCCAGGGCTGAAGGTGGAACTAAACTTGGATCTTCCCAATGACGATTCAAGTTGTCAATTACAAAAACCATGACATGCAAAAGTCATGGAAATGAACAAATTAGAAGACAGTAATGCTATCAAAGTCAGGTTTCCAAGACGCAGCTCTGTCCTGGGTATAAAGACCAAAAATGCAATTATTATTACATGTGAACCACTTCTGGGAAAGCTCAGTCCCGAATAGAGTTCAGAGTCAGACTTGTTCTGTTGTTACGTGTGATGTCTGAAATAGAAATATGATCTACTGTAGATGTTATATGGGGTTTGCTATATTTTAATTCCTAATTCTGCTTTGCCAAGAAACTTTTAGCAAAGGCAGAATTGATTAAAGATGGTTGTAACTCAAAAGTTTCCTGTTAAAACATCAGGGTTGAACCACTAGGCAAATGAGAAAGAAGTGAGAACAATTCTTTAGTTTAATGTGTCAGGCAATACTTCTAATAGGACTAATTTCAATCACATTGATCTATATTGTTTTTCTGTATGAGTGTTCATATTCAGTCTTGCAGGGGCTCACTGATTGAATGATTTTTATTTCCTTCCATCAACAAGTAGATGGGGAAAGATGTGTATCTAAAACAAATAGGAGAGTGAAAAGATGAAATATACCAGCAATATACTAAGAAATTCAACACAGCCATTTAATAAAAAAAGCCCGAATAATTCTACAAATGTCTATGGAGATTCTCAGTCCTCCAGGTCATGTTGTCTCAAAGGCAATTGGACTTTCTTTATTTTTCCTTGAAGATGTTTTGCTTCTCATCCAAGTTAGAACTGAGGAAACTTCTTGGATGAGAAGCAAAATATATTCAAGGAAAAACAAAGAAAGTCCAATTGCCTTTTGAAAAAGCACCTTTGGGGTAATTGTTCAAATGTATTCTTAATGCAAATGAATAAAACAACAGTTCTTGATAAAATTTTGCAGTTAAGATTATGCCTACATGTAGCAGCCATCCTCTTTCTTCCTGGAGGCATTCAACAGAAGTATTTTTTTAATCAGTTACACTTAGTAACAATTACATTCCTAATACATACATCAAAAGAAAAGTTATATAATTAGAAATTCACATTAGAATAGCTATTCCTAAGGAATTCCTAGAAGCAATTAAATTTTAGTAGTAACTGTGAGAGGGACCTCGGAGTCCTAGTGGATAATCACTTAAATATGAGCCAGCAGTGTGCTGCAGCTGCCAAAAAAGCCAACACAGTGCTGGGCTGCATTAACAGAGGGATAGAATCAAGATCATGTGAAGTATTAATACCACTTTACAATGCCTTGGTAAGGCCACACTTGGAATACTGCATCCAGTTTTGGTCATCACGATGTAAAAAAGATATTGAGACTCTAGAAAGAGTACAGTGAAGAGCAACAAAGATGATTAGGGGACTGGAGGCTAAAACATATAAGGAATAGTTGCTGGAATTGGGTATGTCTAGTTTAACGAAGAGAAGGACGAGGGGGGACATGATAGCAGTCTTCCAGTATCTCAGGGGCTGCCCCAAAGAAGAGGGAGTCAAGCTATTCTCCAAAACGCCTGAAGGCAGGACCAGAAGCAACAGATGGAAACTAATCAAGGAGAGAAGCAACCTAGAACTAAGGAGAAACTTCCTGACAGTGAGAACAATTAACCAGTGGATCAACCTGCCTCCAGAAGCGGTAAATGCTTCAACACTGGAAATGTTTAAGAAGAGACTGGACAGCCATTGTCCGAAATGGTATAGGGTTTCCTGCCTGCGCAGGGGGTTGGACTAGATGACCTCCAAGGTCCCTTCCAACTTATTATTATTATTACTACTATTACTACTACTACTACTACTACTACTACTACTACTACTACTACTACTACGGAGAAAGTTACCACACAATTCTGAAAAGAATGCATCTGGGAAGTACGGCCCTATACTACCATTATTCTCTGTTTTAATACCCAGACAAAAATAGGTTTAATTCTTACTCATATACTTGCACAGATAAAACGATGTTGATGTGTCATATTTGGTGCCTCAAATGATAATACTTCTTACAGTCAACAGCACATTTTATGTGCTATTCTAGTACAGGAATACAAACGACTTATCTGAATGTGCTGATATAGAAAACAAGCTACATTTCTTGGCTCAAATAAAACACAAACCTATAATGCTGATCGTCTTCATTATCACTTTGCAGAAGATCATCATTCAGTTCTTCATCTGACATATCTGACTGAGTCTAAAATTGGGGGAAAAACACCTTTTTTGAGCTGGACGTAAGACATAAATGAATACAAATGATAATAAAAATGAATTGATATAAAATAAACAGGCAAGCCTTCAGCAAAGCATTTGGATTTCTTCAGTGGAACAGCAAGACTCAGATGATTCTAAACCAGGGGTCTTCAAACTTGGCCCTTTTTATGGCTTGTGGACTTCGACTCCCAGAATTCCTCAGCCAGCATGCCTGGCTGAGGAATTCTGGGAATCGAAGTCCACAAGTCATAAAAGAGCTAAGTTTGAAGACCCCTGCTCTAAACCATCAGGAGCTGCACTGATGTGGGCTGAAGTAAAGTAATCAAATTACTTTTTAAACTAACTACTCTTTTTAAGCATGTACTTCAAACAGGCCGATTTACCTTTTTGCCAGTCAACAAATCTTCTCCTAGTAAGTCATCATCCAGTTCACTAGAAAAAAAAGAAAAGAGATACTTCAAAACGGCGGAAAAATTGCATCATTTAAGTCAATATCATTCTACTTCACCCAAAATATACTTGAGGATTTCAGCAATAATGCAGACTAAAATGAGGTTAACTTCATTTTTCAGAAAGTGAGAAAGTCCCATTTCTATACTAAAATCAATTTCTGGTAGTTCTCAACTTACAACCAGTTAGTGACTACTGAAGTTACAATGAATCTACCGGGGGGGGGAGGCTCCATAGGATCCAGATTTGAAGTTACGATGGTTGCCCCTCTCCGCAATCAGGTGAACTGAGTCACATTTATGGCTATTTGCAGTGTGCTACAGTCAAGTGAGCACATTTTAGGAGCTTTGTTTGTTTATGTTGACTTTCATGGCAAAGTTTTGTAAAAAAAAAAAAAGGCATTACGTCCAGTTATTGGCAAAACTGTGCCCACAGGAAAGCTATGGTTCACTTAACGCCTACCAAGTTTGCTTAATGACCACAGCAGCCACTCTACAACTGCTGCATTCATTTAACTACTGTTGTAAAATTAGATCTTTCATGTGACGCCCCAATTTACGACAGTCATGACTTATGGGCAGATGCTGATACAGTCATTGGTCAAAAACTCCTTGTAGAGAGCAAAGAAAATTGCTAGATGTAACTTATAATTCTGGTTAATTCCAAAAGAATGCAGTTTGTTTCAAAAGCACAATAATTCGCTCTTTTAAGTAAAGAAACATTTTCTCCCACTAATAGTTAATAATGCTAAAGTTCACAGAAAGGGCCCTGATGTTCAGCTTTAGCAGAATTTAATTCAAATCGGTGGCCCGTTTTAATTCTTTACAAGATGAGGTGGTTTCTACAGCATAAATGTTTTTAACAGAAAAATATAAACCTTTTTGGCACGGAAGTAACTGGCAACATCAGCCTACTTCAGGCACATGGTACGAAGATCTAGTTCTTTGGATAAGGCTCTAATGCTGGAAAGGGCAGAAGGAAAGAGAAGAAGATGCAAGCAGGAAAACAGACAGACTCAGTTACAGTGCCAATGGGTGCCCTCTTGGGGGGACCTGAAAGACCAAGTTAGGGACAGATTGTAAAGGAGAAAATATATGTATGTGGTCACTAACAGTCGACACTGACTGGGTGGCTCATTATAAACCAAGCATCAGCCAAAGGAAGATTTAAAAGTATACGGTAAAGAAAGGTTTCTCCAGTCCAGTCACGTCCGATTTTAGGAGGTCAGTATTGATCTCCGCTTCCTAGGCAAGGGAGCCAGCATTGCCGAAAGATGCTTCTGTGGTCACGTAGCCAGCATGACTATTTGCCGACGATATAGGGAACGCTGTTACCTTCCCATCAAAATGATATCTATTTCACTATTTGCAATTGCATGTTTTCAAATTGCTAGGCTGGCAAAAGCTGGGGCAAGGATGGAGGTTCACCTCGTCACACAGTACTTGGGTCTCGAACTACCAATCTTCTGATTGACAAGCTCAACGTCTTAACTGTTAAAACTTCAATTAACTCTCCCCAAGTGAAACATGATCTGAAGGCAGGACATTTCCATCAATCCCTTGCCAGGATTACTCACTAGTTATCACAGAATTAGCAAGTATCATGGATCTCCATATAGAAGAAAGACCTACAGGGAGCCTTCAATTTATGACCATTATGAAGCCTGCCCATTATGATTGTAAGTTGTGATACAGCAGATCATCATAGGACCCACCCAATTTTATGTTGTTGGGGGTTTTTTTTTTGCACCAGTAGTTAAACAAACACCACAGTTAAGTGAACTTATTGTTCACTATGGAACGTTCTTGCAAAAAAACTGAAAGCAAAAGCCATATTTTGGCAAAACAAAAAAACAAAACAGTGAAGTGACTGCAGGACACTGTAAATGGCTGTAAATGGAAGCCAGTTCCCATGTGCCTGAAATGCGATCACATGACCGGGGTGGATGTCTATGGAGATTCTTAGTCATCCAGGTCACGGTTGTCCCAAAGGTGCTTTTTCAAGAGGCAATTGGACTTCCGTGTTTTTCTTTGAAGATGTTTCGCTTCTCATCCAAGAAGCTTCTTCAGCTCAGAAGAAGAGCTGAAGAAGCTGCTTGAAGGAGAAGCGAAACGTCTTCAAAGAAAAACAAGGAAGTCCAATTGCCTCTTGAAAAAGCACTTCTGGGGCTGGCGGTGGAACGTGACTTCTTCAGCTCTTCTTCTGAGCTGAAGAAGCTTCTTGGATGAGAAACGAAACGTCTTCAAAGAAAAACAAGAAAGTCCAGTTGCCTCTTGAAAAAGCACCTTTGGGACTGGGGGATAGAGCAGCCATTAGAGCGTGACAGAAGAGACTCCTAAAACCACCCTGGTATAAAATGAAGAATGAATTGATCAAACACAGGCACAACCTCAATGTTCATCCTATGCTGTGATGCTAAGAGAAGTAAAACAAGCCCACTTCTCTGTTCTTATTTCCTCCATTGAAAACCACCCAGCAGCATTGTTTACAGTTAACTCAGTTCCTTATAAAGAAAACTGATAACCAAAAGATTCTTAGCTGGACCACCATGAAGAATTTAACCTTTGTAATTCTCTGAGGACCCAGCTGTTCTCCAGGCATTTGGGTCACTATGAGCTCCATGGATTAAATTTGTTTTTTACACAGATTGGAATTACTATCTTAACCTTGGACATTTGGACCACCGAAGAACTGTTGTTGTAATTTATATGCTGCCCTGAATTACTGCTTTCAGATAAGCAGCACAAAAAAAATCAAACTGAGATGACTTATTTGGGATTGTAGGAATCTATGGATTCTGATGAAACGGACATGATCCTCTTTGATATTAATTCTGCCACGCATGGATTACGTCTTTGTCCTACTTGGTCAGTGAAGGTGGCAAGGAAGTAATAAAAAGTCAGGTATGGGAAAGTAGTAAATGTATTTTTAAGTGAAAGGGTTTGCCTCTCTCCTATCTGTTCAACAGCTAAATAAAACCATTGGGAGCAGTCAATAGAATTGCAGAGTGTAAGCTACAAAATGACTGGCATCAAGTTCTATTGCTCCTTACTTCTGAGTTCTAAGAGAGCAATCAGTACCCATGGATGTGGCCTAAATATATACTTTTATTAATCACTAAGGCAACTTGATGCCATCCAGATGTGTAAGGATTACAATTCTCAGAATTTGAAGCCATGTTTACTGATATAGGTAGTCCTTGATTTATTATCGCAATTTATGTTGCTAAACAAGACATTTGCGAAGTGGGTTTTGCCCTGTTTTATGACCTTTCTTGCCACATTTGTTAAGTGAATCACTGCAGTTGTTAGTAACACAGCTGTTAATCTGGCTTCCCTACTGACTTTGCTTGTGACTTGCTGGAAGGTCACAAAAGGGGACCACATGACCCCCAGGCACTGCAACCATCACAAATATGAACCAGTTGCCAAACATCCAAATTTTGATCACATGACCATAGGCACGCTGCAACATTCGTAAGTGTGAAAAACAAGCATAAGTCACTTTTTTCAGTGCTGTTGTAACTCTAAGCTGTCACTAAATGAATGGTTGTAATAGTTGTACCCATACGTATATACATATTTATTATATTTCATTTCATTTCATTTCATTTTTTTGAATTTATTTGCCATCCATCTCACCATGGGGCTACACTAAGTTACTTACAACAATAAAACAGAAAGTGATTTAAAATGTAAAATTAACAATAGTAAAGGAATAAAACAGTAAATGTAAACAATGAAAGTACAATAATACAAAAATACAATAATATTAAAAAGATGAGTGGGGGGCGGGTGAAGGAAGAAGTGGAGGGGAGAGAGGGGGTCAGCAAGTTAGTCCAGCAACCACCATCACTGGTATACTCTCCCATCTGGTCCCCAAGCCAACCAGCAAAACCAGAACTTCAGGCCCTTGTGAAAGGATTTGGGGGGGAATCTTACCCTGTGGGGGCAGGATGTTCCAGAGGATCAGTACTACAGCATAAAAGGCTCTTCTCCTGCCAGCACAAGCAGGCCTCCTCGGCCAGCACCCTGTAGGATGGGCTTATCTGAGCAGCATGGCATGGTTCTTCAAGAAGTGTGAACCCATGCCATGTAGGGCTTTAAAGGTCATAACCAAAATCTTGAGCTGCACTGGGAAGCAAACTAGCAGCCAGTGAGGCTTGTGAAGCATTGCTGTAACAATGGTCATTCTATGGCCCCCAAAGACTGCCTGTGTTGCCACACTTTGTACCAGTTGAAACTCCCAAATGCATTTCAAGGGTGGCCCCACGTAAAGTGCATTGCAGTAGTTCAGACAAGAATGACCAAGCACAGAGAGTCTGTGAATGACCAGGCTGAACGTGAGGGAAGAGTCAAATGTATCATCAGTCTCAACTCCCTTCTTGCCCACAAGAGATCTAAAATCAGCCCAGCTTGACTTCTGTTAATTCTTACCTACTGCTAATTTGCTTTGACCATTAGTAGTTCAGATTCTTGTAGAGAGCATTAGCACACAATAAGCCTATACTCATTTGTACTGCCTGGATTCCTGATTTCCTGTGCTTAACAGAGTCTGATCCAGGAAAGGCTGCAGCTGGTGCACTAACTGAAGCTGTGCTATGGCTCTCCTAGATATGGCTGCCATCTGATTTTCAAGCAGAAGTCATGAGTCCCCCAAGTTTCAAACTGGATCTGAACAGGGCAGTGCAACCCGGTCCAGAACTAATAAAGGTGTCTAAGACCCGAATTTTCCACGCAGACAAAGCTACTCAGTCTTGCCAGAGTTAAGTTGAAGTCTGTTGTCCCCTTCCAGGCCCCTAATGCCTCCAGGCACTATGAGAGCATAGCATCCCTCAGGTTATGTGGAGATGTTAAATTGCATATCATCAGCATATTGATATTTCATGTTATGGATGATCTCACCCAGCGGCTTTTTGTAGACATTGAATAGGCGTAGAGAGAGTATCAGGTCCTGCGGTATGCCATAGGAGAGCAGCCAAGGGTTGGGATTTCTCACTGCCTATCAACACTTCTTGGAACTATACACCCAAAACATCTGGAGAACATCATATTGGGGAAGGATGCTTTAAAATATTGTCCTCTGTTTCTGATGTCACAAACCAGCATAAAACCAAAGCAAGGTAAGCAACAGAAAATATGCTGTAAATACGTTACATTGGGATGCTTATTACACATATTATTCTAAAATATAGGGTAATCATAATCTAATTTAAAAATGGCACTGAGGTGGGGGAGACTTAAAGTCTCCCCTATCCAAAAGAGCATGGCACAAGTCAATGCTTTTCTCTGCTTGAACCTTTTCTATACAGAAAAAGCTCACAAAGTTTAAAGTAGCTCGTTTAAAAAAAAAAACACCTGCAGAGAAGAGTATTGTTCATCCCTGCCATCACTAAGTGAAGAGCAACGACAAATACATATTCGAACATAAGGAAGAATGTAAAAAAATGTTAAGAGATGAATTCCTAGCTAAGTTTAAGTTATGGAATTTCTCAACAGAACTATTTGATTCCAGTGGGTATATATAGAAGTCGGCTGAAAACCAGTTGAGAAAGCAAGTGTTGCTGAACATTATATTATGCTATAGTAAAATCTTGATTTTAACAAAGGGGGGGGGGGGAAGGCAGTGTTTAGTAAATCTAAAGGCCTGTTAAATCTGAAAAGTGTTTTTTGTGTACATTTTTAATATTTTTCTTTCCAGTTCCACCACTTACTGCAGGGGAAATAATATGTTCCCAGAGGGCTGCTTTTCTACAACCACCCATAGCCAAAGATACGTCTGCCTTCTTCGGCATGGCCCAGCCCAACTACAAGGAAATAGATTCAAAGTATGCAATAAGACCCTTCCTCATTGAGCCCCTGGTCTTCTCCATCCTGTCACATAGGCCATTGGCTTTCCCATCGCAGCGATCTTCCCCTAACCTTCCCCAGAACACCAGCCAAATCTGCTAAACCAACTTTGTCAAAACTTCAGATTTTGTCTACTGCATCCAATTTATCCACTAAATTGAAGATGTTATCCCTTCAATCACATCCAACTCTTGGCAATTCTATAGGCCAGGTCTCACCACTTCTTCCAATCTTGCACTACTTTTTAAGGTTTTTTCTATGCTCTGGCTGGTGTCAGCTTTGATGGTATCTCCACTAAATTAAGGTCCATTAAATACAGGTTTTAATATACATTAATATATTTCTGCTATGGCTCCCACCTCTGGAATACCGTGCCTCACAAAGTAAAATCTGCCCTCTGCTTCTTGACCTTCCAAAAGGGCCTGAAAACCTCTGCCAACTGACTAGGGGTCCCTGATGGGGGCATCCCATTCTGGAGATGGCTAGTAGACCCAACTGCTCCCAGTTTATATATTGGCCTTTTTTACCCTGTTTGTTGTTAATTTTGATATTTTAACTTTATAATTGTTTTATACTGTTATTTATAACATTGTAAACCAGGGGTCCGCAACCCACAGTCCTTGGTCCAGTACCGGGCTATGGCATGCCAGCAACCGGTCCGCACAAACAAGCAAAACCCTGATCGTGAGATGCAGGCAGTGCATAAAACCACACACCCTCTGGTCCGCGGAAAAACCTCTCTCCACAGAACCAGTCCCCGATGCCCAAAAGCTTGGGGACCTCTGTTGCAAACCACCCAGATTCGCTTAATAGTGAGATGGGCAGCAGAGAAATTTAATAACTAAATAAATACAGGTAGTTCTCAACTTACGGTCCTAATTGGGACCAGACTTTCTGTTGCTAAGCAAGATGTTAAGTGAGTCATGTCCAATTTTATCTTTTTGAGATGATTGTTATCATCAAATCACTGCAGTTGTTAAGCAAATCATGCAGTCATTAAGAAAATCCAGCCTCCTCTATTGTCTTTGTCAGAAGTTGACTAGGAAAGTCACAAATGATGATCACATGACCCCCCCAATGCAGCAACCATTGGAAATACATGCTGGTTGCCAAGCACCTAAATTTTGATCACACAGCCATGGGGATAATGCAACGGTCATAAGTGTGTGAGGGCCAATCGTCTCTTTTTTCAGTGCTGTTGTAAATTTAAATGGTCAGTAAATGAATAGTTATAAGTCAAGGACTACCTGTAAATACTATACTTGTTCATATCTTCAGGCTCTAAACTGGGGAAGAGGAAAGATAACATCATAACATAGGTAAGATCTGCTGAGCTCCCGCATTTGGTCCATAGACTTTCTTTATCCACTGATTCCAACAGACAAACTCACTTAAAAATATATATTCATTGGTGCTCGTGAACACGTTACAAATACAAGTATGAAGAGCTATATATAACCAGGTATAAATAGGCACATATTTAGATAGATTGGAAAAAAATGGAATAACTTGCTCGTTTTTGTTAGGTCCATCAATTCCCCCCATGTATTCCCACAGCAAAATACAATTCTGATTAAAGAAAGTGGGCCCCTGGCTCACTGTCTGTTCTTCATAGCAGGCATACATATCTCTTCAACTCAGTGACAGTTATGCACATGGCAGATAAACTCATTAATATTTGTATTTGAACATTTTCAAAATCCTGTAAATTAGACTGTGGAGCAGAGAAACAAATGACATATACCAGAAAACATCTGTACTTAAAAGCAACGAAAGAGGCTTACCTATCCCAATCATCATCTCCAGTTCTCCTTCTCCAAGACCTTTCTGCACCAGGTTTATGATGATCAAAGTCATCCTCTATAAACAAAAGACATTTAATAATTTGTACAATATGAAACAAATGCTTGGATTCTCAGACAGCAATACTGATATTACTTTGAAGAATCATGCTAGAGTCGCCCGATAGGGGAGTTAGGCAACATATAAATTTAATAAATTAAATAATAAAATCAACAATGCTGGGTTTCTGCACTGTCTTTGTAGTAGAACAACTTTAAAATCGCTTTTAGTTATATTTTTAGCAAGAAATACTGCTGGGCACCATCATAAATACATCCATGCTCTCGTAAGGAAGTTGCACTAATAGAAATGAACAGTAAGTACTGTAGACTGGCATGCGCAACCTCAACAAAAGGTAGAAAAATATAAGGTGAAGTAATTCTTACAAGGCTCTGACTGTCCAGTAACTCCAGACCAGATCTGACTCTTGAGGGGAAGAGAAATAATTTGTTTCATCTCAATAATCTGACTATAGAGCCCATCCCACATAGCCAATTATTAGAAATTACATGAATGTAGTCCAAAACAATCTAGGCTGCTTACCCCTCATTTAGGAATTCTTTTTTAAAATTCTAGAATCTATTGGCAGCTCTGGATTAATTAAGTAGCATCAGCAGGCATTCACGATATAGTTTCAAACAGTATTTTCTAGTACATATATTATCTAGATCAGCGGCTCTCAGCCCTTTCTATACCCCGCACCCCTAAAACGCTTCTGATATATTCTCACACTCCCTTAGAAAAGTTCAAAATAACAGCAACGAATTATGAATATACACTATCATTTTGAAATTTCTAAACCCAAGTTTTTGCACCCCCTGGAATATCGTCTGGCACCCCCAGGGAGTGCAAGCACCCCTGGTTGGGAACCCCTCCAGCTGATCAGCGCTTCTGGGAGTGCCCCGCAGAAGCGCCAATCAGGTGGAGCCCAGTGCTGATTCTGACGCTTCTGCTGAGCCCTGCAGAAGCGTCGATCAGGTGGAGCCCAGTGCTGATCCTGGCGCTTCTGCTGAGCCCTGACACCCCTGCAGAAGCGCTCATCAGCTGTCAGGGCTCAGCAGAAGCGCCAGGATCAGCGCCGGAAGGAAGAAGGAGATGGGAATGAGAAGGAGAGAGGCAGGGAGAAAGGGGAAAAGGAAGAAAGGACACACACACACCCGACGGTAACCACAATGCTAATGTGACCCTCAATGAAATTGAGGTTGACACCCCTGATATAAAAGGTTGTTAAGAGAATCTGGTTTCCCCATTGACTTTGCTTGTCAAAAGGTTGCAAAAGGGGATCACATGATCTTGAGACACTGCAGCCATCAAAAATATGAATCAGTTGCCAAGCATCCAAATGTAAATCATATGACCCTGGGAATGCTGAAACGGTCATAAGTATGAAAAATGGTCATAAGTCACTTTTTTCGGTGCCGTTATAATTTCAAACAGTCACTAAGCGAACTGTTGTAAGTCGAGACTACCTGTACTTTTATCACTTTTTTTCCTTTTTTGGGGGGTGGGTCATCAAGTTTTTGACACCTTGCTAGGCGATGGGTGGTACTCGGATATTGCCATATCCTAAAAGTGGCACAATGGGTGAAAGGGTTGAAAAGCCCTGATCTAGATGATCTTCACTAAAAAGCTTCAACAAGTGTTTATTTGACTATTATTCAAAAATCTCTTTTATACTACCATCCAAATTAAATCTCAGCAAGATGTAGAGTTTGTTTATCTAAAAGTCACTTGAATTCAAGATACATCCATCCTTAGGCCACGACAGAGATGCAGTTACAATCTTTGGAAGATCTGGGTAGGTTTGTCTTCTGGATTCATAACTCCAATTGGAGAGCTAGTGGAGACGGACACAGCCCAGCAACAGTTTCTGAAACAGGATATTCTGCTATCACTCGTTACAAAATGTATTTGTTCCTATGAAATCTACTCAGAAATTGCAACTGATTCAAATTGCAGCAGCCCAGCTGTTTATGGGGCCAATGTGAGATTAAGAAAATGTTCTCCAATTTACAGGAGCAGCACTAGGTATCACTACACTTCTGAATGCAATTCTATATGACGGTCATTGCTTAAAGCCCTTTATGGTCATTGCTTAAAGCCCAATTATATATGATGGTCATTGCTTAAAGCCCTTTATGGTTTGAGGTCTTCCGGACTGTTCCTGAAGTGGAATTTCCCTGGTGCATTCTGTTGAGGTGATGATGCTGGTGATTAATAAAACTACCTCTCTCCACCAAGACAGAACAAAACAAGGTTTTTTTTTAAATTCTTTGTTCCTGTCTCCCCAACATTAGAACAGCTCCTTCCTTTATTGGATACCAAAAGTAGGAGAATATCATACTTTGGCTTTCAAGGAAAGGTAATAAGAATTATTACCTATATTGTCAGGTAATTATTATTTAGTGCAGGAGTTCCCAACCAGGGGTGCGAGATGATATTCCAGGAGGTGCAAAAACTTGGGTTTTCAAAATTATAGCGTGTATGCATAATTTGATGCTGTTATTTTGAACTTTTGTAAGGGGTGCGAGAATATATCAGAAGCCTTCTAGGGATGCGGGGTATAGAAAAGGTTGGGAGCCGTTGATTTAATGCTATAGGCTGCACAATAATGAAATGAGTGGCATAGAAATTATGTGAAATAAACGTGTATACAGAAATCTAAGTTACACACTATTCAGGTCATTTCTTGTATTACTCATTCTATGTACGTGGAATTTATGCAATGTCTTCTATAATAGGGCATTGGAATATATATATTTAACCAATAGATTTAAGCATTTATGAAGACTCTTAACAATGTTTCTGTTCCATACTTTCAAAAAGAGAAAGGAAGGTAAGAATATAACATGCCAGTTTTGTTTAATGTGATGTCCTCCACATATGCTGAACTACAATTCTCATCATTTAATAAAAGAAAATGAATAGAATGAAGAGTTCTGCTCTCCTTTACATTGAAACCTCTAAAATTCTGAAAAGAACTGAATGTGGTACACTGTCAATAGGTAAAAGGAAACTTTGCGTTTAATTGCAGAATGTACTTCCTTAAGCTGGGACAATACCACAAACATGTAAAACAAGTTGGACAAATTCATGAAGAATAAAACTATTAATGGCTATTAAGCCTGATGGTATATATCATCAGCAGTTTTGAACGCAATATTATTGTAAGTATTAGTTGCTGAAGAACATAAACCAAAGATTAATTTGTCCTCAAATTCTGCTTCTGGACCTCTCAGACATAGATGGCTAGCCACTGTGGGGAAAAAAAGATGCTGGACCAAATCAACATTTCATCTGTTATAACAGAGGTCCCCAACCTTTTGGGCACCAGGAACCGGTTCTGTGGAGACAGGTTTTTCCACGGACCAGCGGGGACGTGGTTTTGTGTGCTGCCTGCATCCTGCGGATGAGGCTTTGCTTGTTTGTGTGGACCTGTTGCTGGTATACCGCGGCCCTGTACTGGTCCATGGACCGGGGTTGGGGACCCCTGGACACATAATATACTCATTTTAAATGACTTTCTAGGTTTAGCAGTTCATATGTACTTTAAATAGCTTGTATTCTACTTCACTTAGTAAAAGTTCTCTAAAATACAATTTACTACACTACCAAATATTCAAACTCAGTATATCAAAGTCAAACAACTATTTGTTTAGTTCAAAAAAAAATTAAGTGGCACAATTTGTTTGAAAGGAAGAGGATACCTGATAATAAAGCTCTTTATTACACAAAATAATAATAATAATAATAATAATAATAATAATAATAAAGCTCTTTATTACACAAAACAACACTGTAGTTAGCAGCATGTAAGGAGATCATAGTCTAATATCTAATGATTGCCACCATCCAAGTATCTCCTGCATTAACAAACTAGATTTCCAGATTTTCCATTAATATATACTGGAATAGTTCTCTAAAAGATTTTTCATCATACTGGGAAGAAACAGTTTTATATCTGCATTTTTAGGGCTCAAGTATGGACATAAAAATGCAAAGAAGGAATAAAACTAGCCAAGTCAACTATGATAAGAACAATTCAAATTGCAAGAAACTTGAAATAGATATTTGCAGACAGAATAGTGAGTTTCCAATATCCTCTCTCACCTTACTACTAGACAGTCTGCTATACAGTGTTGTATCTTATAACAAGTACCCTAAGTATCTTATATCAGAATTAGGATTAATTAATCAGGAAGTGGTTTTAGACTACTAGAAGATAGGTCTTTCAAGTTCAAGCAATATTTTAACATTTATATAACAGAATTATACTTAACAGTATAACAGTATAACATATGGACTAAAAACCTTCGCTAGGGAATCAACCAGATGTTTGCTCTTCCATCAGTAGCAAGTATACTTGGCATTTGGTTCTTATTTTATTAGGCACATCTGGAAACCTCAAAACCATCAGCCCAGAACAGCCATCTAAAAATATATGGAACTCTTTTCAGAGAAGTCTTTCTAAGTATGTGTCTCCTTTCTTCCTTGTACAATACATAACTAGAAAAGCACCAGATATTTTACCAAAGTTTTACAAAAGGTTTTCTACATGTCTATTAAAATAGATATCTTATCTATTTAGAATACAAATTGTGAACATAAGTACTGTCTTATGCCTAACTATATTTATGGTTGTATTATTATTATCCTTCTCATCTTCTTTACTATCTCCTCTTAGTGGTATCATTATTATGATTATTACTCTGTTGTTTTGCATGTACACTGAGAGCTTCTGGACTTAAACAAATCCCTTGTGTTTAATCATACTTGGACAAATAAAGTAGTGTATTCTATAAGTATAGAATCTATAGAATCATATAGCATCTATATGATTCTATATATTATATTAATTCTTCAACTAGATAATTATATAGGCAGTAATTATATTTTAAACCCTAAAAAGGAAGATGTAAAATCCAACAATCCAAGCCGCCTAGCTGTGGATACATAGCATAGCACTTACAGCATTTATTCTGATACTTTCCTCCCTTAAGTCTTGGCTACTAAAATGTCACTCTAGGTCAGGGGTAGGCAACCTTGGCTCTTTTATGACTCGTGAACTTCAACTCCCAGAATTCCCTAGAAATCCACGAATCATAAAAGAGCCAAGGTTGCCTACCTCTGCTCTAGGTAGTGTAGTTGTTTATAGATTTTTTAAATATTGTGACTATTTTAGTATGCAATTTAATGTTAATTTTTTTTTCTAATTTATACTTGCAGTGTCAGACCTGCCACAAACTTAAACCTCTCAGTAGAAAACAATCTTTGGCTTCATTTGCTGAGAAAAGTATATTTTTATTAGAGATCAAATATACTGCAGTAATGCATGGCCAGAACTAAGATTTCCACACCAAAATCCCTACCTTGTACTTTCCTGTCTTTCATTTCCCACCTCAAAGTAACCAATTAAAATCTAAAAAGCTGTTTTCCTTACGGTCAGTTCAAGTTTGGTATGCCACTCCCTCCTTCTTCCAGGTGGGCAGACTTTGAAGCAGCTTCTTGAGACAGCACAACACTTTGTTTTTGTTTCCCAACCATGCCTCCCTTGTCCCCCTTCTCCATAATTCATGGCAGACTGTCATCTCATAACAGCAAAGCACAAGCAAGGATGAGGTGGCAGCTGACAGTTAACAACCTGTATATATTGTATTGGGACGTAAATAAGTTATAACTACAATAAAAACTTGAGTAAAAATCTTTACTATAGGACAGCCCTCTTCAAAACCAATCCTCTTCCTTCTTTTTATTCATAATGGGAAACAAAAAATAATGGCATGAGTGTTTGTGGAGATGAGGATATAAAGATGTGGGGAATTCAAAGTTCCTTTCCAAAAATATATCTACTCTTCCCATTAAAAATGTCCAATTGTTTAACTGGGATGTAAAGGTTAAGCAAACAAAATAGCCTAGCAATTTGAATATATAAAATCCAGGTAAATCACAGGTGTCAAACTCGATCGTGTCACATGACGTATTGTGATGTATCATGACGGTTTTTTGCCTTTGCAGAGTTGGGGTGGGCGTGGCCTGCGCATGACGCATCCGGCCCGCAGGTCACCAGTTTGACACCCCTGGGGTAAAACAAGACTCTGTCCCAAAGACTGTGACATTAGACTATAATGTCAATAATTAGCAAATAGTAAAATAAACAAATAAAGCTCTGTAGTGAAAGCACATTTTCTCTGCAGGATACCATGTTTTACATTTTGTTTCCATTCAATTTATAGCTATTGTATTAATTCTGTATAAGCTCAGATAAGCTCAGATCACCCCTACCTTATATGCTTTATTAACAATGCACTGAAAAGGAGGCTATACTGACTGATATAGAGGCAATCCAAGATGAGTAAACAAACTTTGCAGCAAATTTGAACCAAGATTCAGGCCCAAGATTTTAACCACTGTATGTATCACTGTGGCTCTTCCCACATGATCAGTCTTGCTTGTAAATACTTACTATCCTCAACTTACTATCCTCAACTTACTATCAACATTGAGCCACAACTGTTTAATCTAAGTTGCTAAGTGAGAAATTTGTTAAGTGAGTTTTGCCTCACTTTACAATTTTTCTCACAATATTTCTTAAGTGAATCACTGCAATTCTTAAATTAGTAATATGGTTGTTAAGTGAATCTGGCTTCCCTATTCACTTTGTCAAAAGATCGCAAAAGGTGATCACATGACTTTGGGACACTGCACCCATCATGTGAATCAGTTTCCAAGCATCTGAAAGTAAGTCATATGACCATGGAGATGCTGCTGCAATCATAAATGTGAAAAATGGTCATAAGTCACCTTTTTCAGAGCCGTTGTAACTTTGTGCAGTTACTAAATGAACTGTTGTAAGTCGAGCACCACCTATAGACACAAAATGTTTGATTTGAATTTATTTTTCACTTTTGTTACCACACAAAAGTTTGAAAATTTCATATATATTGTAAGTAATGAAATCATACAACTAGCAAGTTATTTAAATCTTGATAACATTACAAAAACATTGAATTATTACGATTGTCTGGGACCAAAAGTATCAAAGAAATTTTGACTTACAAAACTACACAGAAGAGAAACATCCAAGAAAGTATATGAGAAATTCAAACTTAATATATAAGAAGCTTTTTTATTCATGACATTAACTATTTAAGACACAAGGATACACTCATGTAAGGAACATATCCAGAACCAAGCCAAGACAGATCAAACATAAAAAGAAGTATGGGCTGAATGTGAGTATTTTAAAAGCAAGCAATAAGCACAATATAAGTTCAACTTATATACCTTTTTCAAAATATAAGAACTTAATGTAATTCAAAATTGAAAGAACTCCTTCAATAAGGACAGATTCATAATTTACACTCCTTTACTAATTAAGGCCCTTTGCAGCAATAGAATACACAGCTGTCAAGTATCACATCTGTATGTATCTAATAAAAACATAAGAAGAAACCAAATCCTACAAAAGGTCATGTTCAAATGGAAGGAAATAGGAAATAAAAAACGGGCCACAATAACATCCCCCTCCCTAAAAATCTTATTCTACCCGTGATGTCTTGTGCTTTTGATCTTGCTTTTATAATCCCCAAAGATCCTCCCCCCTCCCCAATCCTAGGCCCTTAAAGAATTGCCACTGAACTGGTGACATCTTTTCCTTTCCATTCCCAATAAAGTCCTTACTAGCAGTGATGATGTTACCTATTTTGGGTAATGAAACATCTGCAAGAAAACAAGCCAGCCCAAAGAGCACCAAGGACCCTCTCATTTCAACCCTGAGCTACAAATGTTCTCCTTTATTGCTCTCAAGAAACAACACTTCCAAGCACCCCTTTATTCTCCCCGCTTCCTCTCTCGTCGGAGCGCCCCAAACCCCTGAAAATCCTACTCAAGCGCCCCTCGATTCAAACCTTCCCCACCCAACCCTTCAGACAAGGCTGACGTGCCCGTCTAGCCCAGCGAGGCTTCTCGCGAGTAAGAACACACTCAGGCGGCGCAAACAGGTCCATCTCTTCTCCTGCCACCCATGATATCAGACGCTTCTCCCCGCTCTCCCTGGGGCGCCCAGCACCCGTCTGGGGCCTGCGGCTTTCCCCGCGGGTCAGCCGCGCATCCCCACCCCCCTTGCCCTCGGGAGGACGAGAAGGGATACCGCACCTGCTCCTGCTCCTCCCAAGGCGGCTGCCATGGCGTCGGATCTTGCCAGGTCGCGGTGCGAAAAGCCCGCAACCCTCCTGCCTCTCCCGACGCCGGGAGCCGCTCTCGCCCAGGACCGCCCGCCAGACGCGGAGAGTAAAACTAGAATAACATGGCGGCCGGCTGATGAAGGAAGCGCAGAGGAGGCAGACCAAGAGCGCCGCTAGAAGCGCCGCGTTGTAATCTGGGATACTGGAAGACCGCCTGTTCCTTACCCGGAGCGGAAGATGGCGGACTCGGTGGCTTTGGCCAATCTGCCGCATTGGAGACAAGACGAGGGGAGGGGGAAGAGGGAGGGCTCTGAGGTGACGCCACGGCTTCTAGCGTAAACCAAGGAAAGCGGGCCTCTCTTTCCCTTGACTTTATGGTCAAGTGACTTTATTTTATTGATTTCTTTTTTAAAAAAAAAACTGGATTGCGAGGCGCATGCGCCTGAGGAAAATAGGCAAAGAAGCCGGCAAATAAATGGGGCGCATGCGTAGGAGGTTTTTTCTTTTTTTCTGCCAATAGAGGAGGTTTTTGCTTTTTTTCTGCCAATAGAGCAGAGAGAAAATATTTTGGAGTTATGTCTATCTGTAGCCGGCTTTCTCTAATGAGGAAGCCTGGGTAAATTGTTGTCCGGCTTAAAAATGACTCATAGCTTGCTGAATAATCTCCATGAACTGGATTCACATAACATAACACACATTGAATGATAAAGAAAACTTTTATCAGCCACAAACTTTTATCACCTTTGCATAGTAGCCAAAGCTATGTTCTATCTAAACACGTTACCATTTAGCCCAATGTTTTTCAGCCTTGGCAACTTTAAGCCGTGTGGATTTCTTCCAGAATCTCCCAGTCAGATGCTGGCTAAGTGACTGGATGATCAACAATTATAAAACAATAATAAAAATTAAAAACACATCTTAAAAGTTTTAAATCCAACATCTCAAAGTTGCCAAGTTTTGAAAGACTGGTTTTAGCCATTTAGAAAAACCTAGCTGATGAAATGATGGGTGCACATGTAAAACCAATATCTGAGTTCATGGTTAGAGACAAGTTACGCAGATGATAGATATAGAAATGAATTTTTGAAGAAAGGGATGAATATCTAGGTCACACATCACTAGTGTGTAGAATCTGGTAGCCATACACCAGGGGTCTTCAAACTTGGCCCTTTTATGACTTGTGGACTGGCTGAGGAATTCTGTGAGTTGAAATCCACAAATCATAAAAGGGCCAAGTTTGAAGACCCCTGCCATATACATTACAAACTAAGCTGATTTTGGTGCTTTATATAGCATAGTTTATGGCATAGGATATTATGCAATGTGGCTAATTATGATTTATTAATTAGCTATACTTAAACCCTGACTTCATGTGATTGTAAATAAATTTTCTGAGTCATCTGAATCTCAAGTTATGTTGCTATCCTTCTTTCAAGTGAAATTAATTGAAGATTAAACTTGGGATCTAAGTTTATAGGCCACCAATGTTTCAGAAAAGTAATTAAGGATGCATATTAATCAATTAACCTCATTTTTCTGATCCATGAGAAAGCAAAGGAAGAACTTCTATACAGGACAACTAGGATGCACATATTCATTCTCACCTGTGGTGGAATCTACTAACTCGCAATGGGATAATCATACCCAGTGCTTTTTTTGTAAAAAAAAAAAAAAAAAGTGCCGGAACTCACACACGTCATACAACCCGCCTTGCCTACCCTACAAGGTTCCATCCAAAAAAGGTGCCGGAACTCTGTTCTGGGCATTCTATGGCAAAAAACAGCCCTGATCATACCCATGTTTTCTATTATTGCATTATTTGTGATTTTAAATAATTGCAATTGTAGTCTAGTTTTGCCTCATTGTTATGAACTCTATTTGCAGAGTTAGTTGTTATTCCTTCTATGGCAGGGGTGTTAAACTGCCGGCCCGCGGGCCGGATGCGTCATGCTGAAACCGCACCCACCCCATTGCCAGCAATGTGGAAAAAAAGTTGCAATACATTGCGACACGTCATGTGACGTTGCGAGTTTGACACCCCTGTTCTATGGTAACAGGGAAAGGAAGGTCCTAGCCTCCTTGGATTGTGTTAATAGATTCAGGCCATCCTATCCCTAGGTCCTATTGATTATCGTGCCATGCCATCAGATTAATTTATCAGCCAATAGTAAGTTGTAACCTTGTTTTTAATTAATTAGTTCATTTCCACAAAAGAATATAGGTATAATCTATATCATTATATCACACAGTACAGTAGAGAGAAGCCAACAGAAATTCTCATCCAACAGAAAAGCAGAATATTTTTTGAAGCGTTCTTGAATAATCAATTATTGACTTCATTGCCCATTGTACTAGGTTTTAATTAAGCGATAAGGCCTTCCATATGGATGCTTTTATCTTTCAGATAAGGATTTATCGGACATCCCCCCCAGCAGGTTTTTATCTGAAAGATAAGGGAAAAGTACATCAGTTTGTTAGTTTGTTGTTTAAATCCTTTAATTAAAGGACCTCTGTATAAAAGTCATAGGCTTGAGAGACTCAAAGCATGTCTTGAACTAGATGAGCATCTTTGAGTGAAGGAGAATATAAAGAATTTTGATAAATTAAAAAATTGTTGAATCTTTTGGTGCTCTTCGATCTTGGTTGTTTTCTTGCAGACATTTCATTACCTAACTAGGCAACATTATCAGTGCTAGTGAGTGTAGTGTTTGCTCCATGTTTACATACAGAATAGTAGCTTCCCTGTCAGAGATGTGGTCCTAGTGTCTAGTGTTAATCCCTACTTAATGAAGTGCTACTTGCTCCAGGGGATATGTTCTACCCTTTGTGTTTCCTTCTCAACTTTTTAAATGTCTTTTTTGAAAGCTGTATATATTTTTATTTCTATGTATATCTATCTATCTATTTCTGAATGCCAATCTTCCAGGAATTTCCTAGAATTTTTGATTTGGCTTAGTCTAGAACAATGGTGGCAAACATATGGCATGCGTGCCAGAGGTGGCACTCAGAGTCCTCTCTGTGGGCCCACGCACAATGCCCCGGAGATGGCAACCGTCCCTCTTCAACCAGCTGCCCACTAACTCGCCGAGGTCCCACGTGGTCGGATGCACTCCAGCATGGCTGGTTTCCCTCCCCCCTGTCCCATCCCTCCTGGCCTCGCATGCTCTCCTTTTCCCAGGCATGACCCACTGCATCGCCTCTTTAGCTGTCGGCTGGCCGGCTTCTCTGAACTGCTGGCGGCAGGCTGTGGAGCCCCAGAGTGCGCCGGTTGAGGGGCCAATAGGCTGTGGCTGCTGACGGACACTGTCGGCCCCCAAGCGCTCGCTGGCCTCTGTGTGCGGGGGCCGATGGTGTCAGACAGCAGCCGCCCCGGCCCCTGCCTCACCTTGCCCTGCGACAATGGCACCCCCACCCTGCCTCGCCTCACCCCACAGGACGAGCATCCTGCCCACCACCCCATCTGCCAGAGGCCCCCTGTATCTCCCCCAACCCTGCCCGGACGAGCATCCTGCCCACCGCCCCATCTGCCAGAGACCCCCTGTATCTCCCCCAATCCTGCCCGGCCCCCACAGGTGTCCCTCCCCACAAGCAACATCAAGGTGACCACGCCTACCTTGGCCACACCCATCCAGTCTACCATGACCATAGCCACGCCCACCCAGTGAGTCACGCCCATCTAGTACCCAGCAATAAATAAGTGGGTTTTGGATTGCAGTTTGGGCACTCGGTCTCTAAAAGGTTCGCCATCACTGTCATAAGGCATTAGTTAGCTTATGAACTACAATAATACTTTGTAGTTATACTGGTCTGTTGATTATTTCTGAGATGTTTGATGCATGGTAGTGTTATCATTCTCATAGTTTGTGTTAGTTGTGCTGTAGTGGGTTGAGAGGTCAGCTATTTTTTTTTATCGTTGAATGGCTTCCATTTTGTGGAATATGTGTGTATATTTATGTATAACATATACATATACATAACCCTATATAAGGCAATCTGCTTCTTTTTTCTGCTCTTCTGGATTGCTGCGGTCTATTTGTGCTCATGTGAATAATGTCCCGAAGGTGCTTTTTCAAAAAGGAACTAGAATTTGTTTTTCCTTGAGGATGTTTCCCTTTTCATCAGAACTGAAGAAGCTTGTCGGATGAGAAGCAAAACGTCTTCAAGGAAAAATAAACCCCAGTTGCCTTTGAAAAAGCACCTTTGGGAGAACCATGACCTGGATGACGGAGAATCCCCATAGACATTCATCCAAATAATGTTCTTCTTGTGGGAAGTTGAGATGTTACTTTGGTAATGGAACACTTCGTTAATGTGGATTGTTTTTCCATGGACTTGCATTTCTAATTTGCCATAATTTCCAATTTGCCATAATTATCCAGGAAGGATACTCTTTTCTTGTTTTCTTCTTCCCTTGTGAATTTTATTTCCCCCCCCCCCCGGAAGATATTGTATTAGACTCGCAGTGTTTCTCAACCTTGACCATTTTAAGGCATGTGGACTTCAACTCCCAGAATTCCACAGCCAGCATTGCTGGCTGTGGAATTCTGGGAGTTGAAGTCCACATGCCTTAAAATGGTCAAGGTTGAGAAACACTGTTAGAGTCTCTGCTATGAGTCCTAAGAATGGTGAGCCCACAGGTGTTCCTCTGATTTGTTGGTACATTTGTCTATCAAACCAAAAATTGGTAGTGAGGCAAAGGCTGATGAGAGCCATGATTCTAGGTGTTTCAATTTTAGTGTATTTGGGTAGATCAGGTGTGTTGTGTAGTATTATTGTCATGGATTCTTTTGCTAATTCTGGATATGTGGATGTGAAGAATGCTATGATATTGGAAGAAATCATAATCATCTTCTGTTTTTAGGTCTTTGATTTTTCTGGAGGCACTGTAATGGGCAACTTTCTAGACTATTATATTCACTCCCCTCTATAAAATGCCCAAGCTTTTTTGTAAGTTCATTGGCTAATGTTGTAAGTTGGAATCCCTGGTAATAATATAATTTGATGAAGAGGTA